CCATGCAGTGCCTTGTTGCGTGCTGCAAAATGCACCCGGTGCCAGATAACGATGGCGAACACAAGAGCACGAACACTCTCCATGCCTTGAGGGTACATCGTAGTAGTCAAAGAGGTAACTGGAACCACGCTATGGCCACGCGATGTTTTAACGTGTATTGAGCAATTCCTTTCAAATATTGATTCTAATCAAGGTACTGTTATAAATCGAGCAGTAGCACATATTATTTGGCGGATTAAATGTCAACAAAATATTATGGAAATGATTGTCAAGGTTCATTCGCTGTTCCACTCTTGCTCTTGGTGCCCGCCCAACTGGGCGATCAGCGGCGCCATGCAGACTTGTAGGACTGACCCGCAAATAGAGACAATCCTGCAATTAGGAACGCAAGCAACAAAGTCTTTATCCAGGGAGCGTCGTCGATTGCGGGGAGACTCATTGGGATCAATGCAATAACAGCGTTTAATAGCAAGGGACTGGTTTGTTTATTAGCAGGCGCATTATCAATCAGGACGGCTTGCGTACAATAGTAGACGATAAAGTATCCAGACGCAGTTACGCCTTAGGTACCACCAGCACCATGTTAGACTAACGGCGGAAACTACACCAAAGAGGACGGCGCATGACAGTGCCGGCATGCTTTTAGCGAGCTTTGCGGCAGGTCTCATCAATTTGCCCGCCATCCTTAGGAACCCATGACTATACGTGTAGATATGAGACAAGGATATGGTCCTCGTGAAAAATGTCCAAGACAGAAGCGTAGGTATGAGCCATTGGCTTTTCGAGCCGGCGTTGTCTTTTTCTAGGATATCGGCGTATTTCGCCAAAAGGCGCCTGTACTGAGCTTCGTCTTCTTGACGCTGCGAATGGGTGGAGTCAAACTGCCTTCGATGTTGCATTTTGCTTGATGAGGCGAGAAATCTGTACTGAGGTCTACCAAGCTTTAATACTTGTACCGCGTATAGACCGCTGTCTCGGAGGAAACTCTTGCACTTTTAGACCAAGTACACGGCTGGATTGATTGCATTCCACGAGATGATGACTTCCAGCATCCAGTCATTGCTAGCCGTACAGACGAAGCCAGACTAAGGCCAATATCCAGTACTGTGGACTTGCCCATATACACTCGTCGTCTGTTATCGACGTGCATCCCGTATCCATATATGGGTCATCCGTCGTAGTTGGCGACGAGACAAACCTGTGCATTCAAGTAGAATCACATGCTGCATAGTACTGTAGTGAGATCTGTATGGGTGAGATGAAGCCAAAGGCGGCTGACGATTCATTTCGTGGCTTAGTTTGCCCATTGGAGCTATATTTTCAGGTAGTCAGACTTGCGGTCTGGTGCCGCCATAACGAACCTATGGCAAATAGGCAAATTCTGGCTGAATCGCTGAGTTTGCAGCCACTATGGAGACAATAAGTGGCATGTCACATTTCTGACTAGTGCATTACACGGAAATGCTGCTGGCCAATCTAAACATGGGCGCGATGGCAGCATTACTTTATGTACATATCAGAGCTATTGTACCCGCGTGTGGCTCTCCCACAAGGTCGTTTGTTCGAGCGCAACGATTACTTACAATACAGGTTATCTGCTTGTACAATATGCTACATGGGCGATCATACACCACAAAAGTCCACTGTATCATGAGAAAGTTACACCTGCGAAGACGCCTATCGCGTTGGCTGAAGAAAGACAACTCATGTCTCACTACTCGCCGACGGCGCATTGTCGAACCCGCTCACTCGGAGCTGCGCCCGGCACTAGAGGAAACTGTGAGGATTCCGCTGGACTGCGCCTCCCGCGACCATGTCATCTTTATGACCCGTGCAGTGGGCAAAATCCGCTCAGATCTCGCGCATTTTCAAGATCTGTCTAACAACATACTTATACCGGCCATTCCACTTATCCAATGGCATTGCGACGGACTGCTTTCAGCTGTCCGAAGCTGCAATGAAAGGGTAGCGCAGGCTAACGCAATCTGGCAGAAGGAGTGGTTTTGCGGCGACCGCTGCTGGGATGGTCGGGGCTAATAATAGTGAGATACAGGGGAACGTTTGTTTGATGAGCTTGGCCTAGCTCCAGCCACCTCGTTTCAAAGCTTTTCAAGCAATCTAAACGCGTTAAACCTGTGCCATGGAGCAAGCTATGTACTGTACGTGAAATTGTTGCAAGGCGACGAAACCTGACGCAATGCGAAGCAACACGTCACAGCAACCTGCCGTTAGTGCCCGCCTCACACTACTACGGCGCAGCGCGGCCGATCGCCGGCCTCTCCACTAAACACTCGCAATTCACCATCCTAGTCCCAATCTTGCTCTAACGGCCTCGGGCCACTTTGGCTGCCCCCTGTGGTCTCTGATCCGTGCACTGCCCGGGCGCGGATCGATATACGTTCACGTCGGCTAACGGGGGGATTTAGTCGCCAAGGCAGTAGGCACGGTTCACTTACGAGCCAAACGATCAGACGGGCTGGTGACTGAGATGAATCTCGGCCGGTCGGTCTATTGTCCTAACGCCCCGATCAATCTCCTCAGCTCGGAACAGCTAAGGGCTGGCGGTGCCATTCGCGATGGATTCAAAGACTGCATCATACACAAAGATTCCAAGACTGAAATGGCAATGACTGACTGGATCAACAACGTGGCTGTCGTCCGATCGGAGACACCTTCCCGCGGCACGCCTAAGGCTCCAATGCTTCTGGCAGCAACCTATCAACTCATGCTTGCTTTTTCGAACTTAAGGACCTTGGAGAGGTGAAAGACTTTCTCGGCTTTACAGTCATCAGAGACAGACCAAACAGGCGTGTATATCTCTCTCAGAAGAATTTTGCCGAGAAAGTCATTTCGAAATATGGATTCCGGACATAGAATGCAGCGACAATCCCTTGGCCGCGAGGATTTGAGCTTCCTGCTACTTGGGAGCCAGATGAGACCTCTCAAAAGTCGTACATCAAGCAGACGGGCTCACTGAACTTCCTTTCAACCGGAACGAGACCCGATATCACGTACACGACGAATCGTCTCTGCGAAGCCAATGCTGGACCATCTAATCAGCATAAACAGCTTCTGAAGCATCTTTTTAGGTATCTTATTGGTACTACAACTCTGTCTCTCTGCCTAGGCGGAAAGTGTTCTATGACCAACCTTCCACTACTTGCCTTTGCCGATGCAGCATTCGCCGACCGAATACCGACACGCCACTCGACTGCCGGCTATATAGTCCTTTTGGCCGGTTGTCCAATTCTCTGGAAATCCAGCAGACAGACAATTGTTGCACTGTCGACAACGGAAGCGGAATTCATGAACCTCACACCGACTGGACAAGCTTTTCTGTGGATCAATCGCATCATTCGGAACCTTGGGATTCGATCTAGCAAGCCGGTCATCATATTCACAGACTCGCGCAATGCACAGCTCACGGTACTCAACCCAATGAACGGCACGAACAAGACACATTGACACTCGTTACAAATGGATTATTGATCGCACAAGTCGAGAATTTGACATTCAACATGTCTCTATACAAAATATGACTGCTGACGGATTGACCAAGCCTCTCACTCAAGAACGCCATGCTGCCTTCGTTCGTCAACTTGGACTTATGTCCCCTCCGAGTGTCTACTTTGTAAGTGAAGAACCTTGAGCTTCGGACTATTCAGTCATCTACCCATGTCTGGCTACGGGGGAGTGTTGGAGGAGACCAGCTGTCTCTAGAAGGTTCTATGGGCACAACGACTCTATCGGCTATGTCTACGGTACATAAGACCTAGCATTGCACTCCTTTCTGTAGCTCGAAGACATCATCAATAGATCATTTTCATTCACTCCTTCACAGTCTGCGTGTGCAAAATAAGGTAAGCTGTCCGGTGAAATGCGTGCGGAGTTCTTGGTTAATGACTCTCTTGAGGGTGTTGATCCGTACGGAGTCCGACCAGGTGGCCCCTCCACTGTCCGCAAGCTCTCTCTCAAACTTGGCAGGAAAGTGGCGAAGCTCTCCTTCTGGCTCTGCCTCGGTGTCTCGAGCCTGTGTGAGGGCTCGTTGTTCTGCGTTTGGGTCGCCGTAGCAGCCCACAAGGTAGGTATTCCATAAACCGGGTTGGTTCGAATTGTCCGTTGGACGGTTGGAGCCGCCGTTCTCGAAGAAGGCTACTGAAATCGACTGGGGCGTCTGGCCAAGCCTCGCGTATATATAGGCGAATTGGTCGGAGGGCGATCCAATGGCGGAACTATCGACTCGCAACTTGCTTGTCATCTCGAGCTGCCAGGCGCGGAACTTCCTGCGCGTTCCATAAAATTGTTTAGGGGCCAGCAGGGTGGTTTCTTCTTCGTCGGTGCTTGATCAGGTGGTCTCTGATCCTTGGGGGTCTCGATCGTGGTCGGGGCGTTCGAAGGACTCGGAGTGGGGGTCGCAACTGCGGCTTGAAGGTTTCGGATTTGGGGGCGTACTTCGTCGCGGTCTAGGTCTCTGTCTGCGTGTAAGGCCTGCAGCAGGGCCATCATCTCACTCAAGACTTGCATCATTGACTGAGGCGTGGGCTCGAACGAGCCGCTCTGAGTTTTGCCAGCTTCCATAGTTGAAGCTCTTCCCCTAGTACTTTGTGGCTGGGCGACCTGATCACACAGCAAGTTGACTGGGAAGGGATCAATGCACCGCGATCAATTGCCATTGGCACCGCACAGGCTCCTTCCTCTGCTACTGGGCTTCCCTAGCACGGCGTCCATGCCTATTGACCGGACTGTCGCACCCTTGGGACTCGTATCGCCATGGCTGTCGGCGTGGGGAGCGTTGATCACAGGTATTGACTGCGAGGTGACGGCTCTGACGGTCAAGCCCATGGTGGGCGACATCTGAGGCGCATTCACTGCACGGCTATCCGCTTGCGCCACTCCAGACATTGGAGACTGTACTGGGATAGTGACGAACCACGACTGACTCTTCACCGATCTTGCCATAATCTGTCACTCTGCTCTCATATGGTGGGCTCGGTTGGGCATCAGAAGCTGTTCCAGTGACTGGACGGCGGCCCCAGGGTCGCCCGCGCGAAAAGGATGGCCTTGATGGCATCAAGTGGCACGAAAGTCCCCGACTGCAAGAAATGGGCAACATGGCTGTCACTAAAGCCATGCCTGTTGAGAAGCTCCCGTAGCCGCTTGTTCTCCTCGGCTGCTCTCCTCGCGGCCATCTGAATCTCGGTCGAAACCTCGATGCCCTGGAGCTCGTATACTCTGAGTCGCTGTTCGAGCTCCTGGACATACTCTCTCCGTCGGGCGCGCGATCTCCTTTGATTGTCTCGAATTCGGACCTCGAGGTCGTACCCGGACTGCGTACACAAGTCTGACGAAGCTCAAGCAAAAGCCCAATCAGTCATTCCGGAATTTCTTCCGACAGTACCGAGCGATCGAGAGCGAGTTCCCTCACAGCGTCCCAGACTGGCTGCGCATCGAGATGTTCTTGTTTTGTTGCAATAAGGATATCAAGGATCTTTTCCGGTCTCAGAACTACCCTAAGTCGTGGAACGACTTGGTAGAAAAGGGTCATGAGTACGATGACGATTTCCACGAAAGGGAACACCATACCGACCGGACCGTTGGAGAGTCAAGACCAACAGACACTTCTGGTAGGGACAATGCGCCGACAGGGAAGGAGAAACCCCCTACGTGCTTTAAATGTGGCAGGCCAGGTCACATACGACCAAATTGCACCGAACCGGATTGCAAACGATGTGGTGAGAGCAGGCACACCACGGCCCGTCATGACGACCCAGCCACGGGCGCAAATGGGGTGCGCAGGGTCAAGCAGGATCAGCGAGATCAGCAGAACGAGGATTAGGGACCGCACCGGCTCCTGTCTGAAAGCGGTGAAAACTGGATACCTTACCAGTTGCGACAGGACGGCCGGTGGTCCAAAGCAAGCTTTGCCTTGCTAGATCAAGGCAGCCACTACAACCTGATCTCTCCAAAGTTGCTCACTCAACGCGATTGCAACGAGTGGAACCGACTTCGGAGCGACCCGAGGTGTCAGATCATGAAGCACCTTGGTGACCACCCGCATGAGCTGATCCGCCTGCGTCTGCACCCCCACAGTCCACGGGAGAGGCCGAAGCTCGTCCTCGACCCTTGTTGCGATGGCGATCCACGGCGCGTTCTTGAGCATCAGGCGCTGCGGAAAGGTCCGTTCCGGTACTCGTATGTCAAAGGTCGTCTGGATCGCTCTATGGTCCGATCCGTGCTCTGTCGGGTGAATCAGGCAGGATGTCACCTCGTCCGCCAGTTCTGCCGATACCAGCACCAAGTCGATGGTGCTCTCCTCGTCCGACCTCTGCCACGTTTTCGTCCCTCTCGGGAGAAGGCTGCAGAGACCATAGTCGTCCATCAGGTCAATGATGGGCTGGCCCTCCCCTTGTCTGCTCGCTGACACTTCATCTCCGCCCCAGAGAATATCGTGGCAGTTGAAGTCCCCCGCCAAAACCACATCGGTACGTCTCCCTGTCCCATTGCGGAAGCGATCGATCACGTCGCGCAACAGTTCCATCGCGTTCGTCAGCGCCTCGTCGTTCTTTCCTTGCACATACACTGACACTACCATCACCTCCCTTCCCTCGAGTCGGAGTACCGCTGCTGTGAGATCGGCCGACGGCACAGGCACTTGCTCCGCCTCAAGGTCACTTCGGATCCAGAGCATGCTGCGGATCGGCCATAGGGCGTCACGAACACACGTCGGAATCATCTTTGTCCAGTTATGGTGTCCCATAGGACTCGTCACCACCTTTCCGTCGATATTGCGCGCATGTGGCTCAGATATAGCCAGTGCGACAAAATCCTTCAGGTCTTCGTCGTTCATCAGACTCTGCTGCACCACATCACTCTTGTGTGCATTCAGCTGTAGGATGCGGAGGGACTCAAGCATCGCTGCTCGGGTTCCTCATCCTGCACTTCCAGCTAACCGACTCATGCGGTCCGCCGCACGGGACGCATTTTGGCTCAATCGCTGTGCACTCTCGGTGGTGATGCCCAGCGTTTGCGCACTTGCCGCATGTCCGCTGCTTCTTGCATGAATATGCTTTGTGACCGATCTCCTGGCAATTGAAGCATTGGATCGGTCCCGTTCTTGGCTCGAACTTATAAGTGGTGGCCGACTCTCCCGCTAGGTCAAAGTAGTCACCGTCCAGAAGCCTTTCTGCATCGCTTTTCTTGGTGACGTATACTACCATGGATCCGTAGGCTTTACCAGACTCTCGTTTGCTCAGCCAGGAAATCTTGCCAATGGTCACTCTGTTTTCGGCACTCAAGGCTTCGATCGCTCCGGGCAGGATATTGTCCTCCGTGTCGAGGATTGCTGTCCGGTTGGCGTTGTCGACCCGGACCGGATACAGCTGGTCTCTCATGACTCGCGCTCCCTCCACGGCTGTCTTCTGCGCCGCCTCTTTGACCAGCTGAAGCTCGGCTTCATCTCTGCAGACGATCTTGACTCGGTCGGCGTTCCGGGATTCTCTCACAACTGCTGCGCACCTCCAGGTCTCATGTCCGTTCTTCGCTCTCATCTCAACCTCGATGGCCTGTCGTATCTGCCCGATTTGCGCTTTGTTCCTGTTCAGCTCACTTACACGAGACGTGTCAATGGTACAATGGACAGAATCGTTGGCTGTCTGCTGTTTGGTTGGACCAGGTATGCTGCGTGTACTGGAGGGCGCGCTGTTTGGCAGGGCGCGCGCGACGTCCGCAAACGTTGCTCGAGGGCCGCTTGGCAAAGCCACCTCGCCCGATACATCCAGCTTTTGCATCAGCTGATCTAGTTGCTCTTTCACTCCGACCAATTCTCTCTTAAGATCCCGGTGCTCCTGTTTCATTTGCTTGTCGTGCTCTTCGCTCTTACGTCGAAACTCTTCCTTGGATTCCTGGACCTGGGCTTCCAAGCCTCTGATCAGATCTTCCTGTCCCTGAATGGTGGTGCTTTGCTTGTAAACCGTGGCGCTCAGCTTCCTGATCGTGTCGCTTTGCTCGGATACTCGATGTTTCAGCTCCACCATCTCACTTCCCATCTTCGCCAGCATCTCTAGAACCCTTTGCATCGTCGATTTGGCGGTCTCCACATTGCTGCGTGACTTCACCTCGTCGCCTCTTTCGCTTTCGTTGCCCACCGATATGACTCGTGTGGTTCGGGTCGAGACACGCTTGGGAGCTCTCGCGGTCGCATTTTCCAGCGATCGTAACGTATCCTGCACTCGTGCGCTGGGCGTCATCCCTCGCGTCGGACGCGTCAATGGCGACGGGCTAGTTGGATCCAGCCCCGCCCCCACGTCGGCCGGAGGCGCCACTTCAGGCTCTGCCATGATGGCAATCAAGAGCCACACCTACCCCAGAGTAAAGAAATATGAAGAACTATAGTAGAACGTCGAGGAGCGTCGAGTTCCTGCCAGGACTCGAACCAGCTTATTTTTTTTTATTTATTTATTATATTCCGCCATTGACGATAGTCAGAGGCACTGCGTCAGACTCGCTAAGCCTAATCTAGAGCTGTCCAATACTCGGTTCCGAGCCCAAGGAATTCGTCCCGATCTAATCCCTGAATTTCTCTTACATCCTTCAATCCGTCTCTTGCTCACTTGACCTGTCCCTTTCCAATTCTGGAGCCTGTCTGATGAGGTACAGACCACTCTCCTCCGCCGCATTTGACGAAGAGTCCACCTGCCTTTAGCCGTCCGGTGTAGCTAACCTACCAGCTGTGGGGCAACCACAGGTATAGGTAGAGGTTTGTGCTGAAAAGAAAAGGTTAAGACAGAGGATGTATGTTAGTAGGGCGACGGTCGTAACTGGCGAGTTCCCGGCGATATACCGGGCACCCAGGATCTGTAGCCTTGTGTGCTCCTTTTCCACCGCACGCTGCACACTTAAAAACGTCCGAGGTGCAAGTCGACGCAGAATGGCCCGGTTGGGCGCACTGTCCACAGATCGGAGCTGGCGCCTTGCAGCGATAATGCAAGTGTCCGTAGAGGTGGCAACGGTAGCATCTCGCTGGTTGAAGTCCTGAACAAATGGTCGCGTGTATGCACACTCGCCATTCGCCATCTCAACCGTTCGTTGTGCAAGCAACCTGTCCACCTCCTCTTTCTTATCCAGGTGTACCACCAGAGAGCGGTATTCCTTGTCGACAGACGCTGTCCCGAGCCATCGCATCTTGTGCACTTTCACCCCGTTCATCCGCTCAAACACGGCGCATCCGATATCATCCGTCGCAACCCCACGATGGGCTCTATCAACCCGTAGAGGGTACCACTGTTCCCCATATAGCGTTCCCTTGTCGAAGTGTGTCTTTATCCAGGTGTCGTTCTGCCGTACTTTATCGACGTCCGTCTCTCGAAAGAGAAGCCGAAAACGCCCTTTTCCTTAGAATTGACGCCCAGACAGGTCACACCCAACTTCTCGAGGGCAGCGTTCGCGCGCCGACGAATAGTGCCGGCGTTGCCTTCCTTTATGTCGCTGTCTAGGACCCGACTCACGTCCAAGCCAATGCCAGGCAGTGGCCCTGGGACCAGAGGGTGGTGGCGAAAGTGGCAGGGGCTGTTGCTGTTGCTGATGAGGGGCACTTGGGTGGCGGACTCCGGAGGGCTAGCGACGCGTGGGAAGAGCTCGTTTCGGATGAACTCTTCCAGAGACTCGACGCGTTTCTCCGCCCTTTCGGCCCGCTCCTCGACGCGTTTCAGGAGAGCTTCGATTCGCGCCAATGAATCCTCGTTGGAATTGGGGTCGGCATTCGTCGGTTTCGCTTTCGGGACGGCGGATTTCTTTCGTGATGGGCGCGGTTCAGGGTCGAATTGCAGCGTCGGTTTCAGAGGGCGACCGCGGGCGCTGGTCCTTGTCGCGTCGGCCGCGCTTGTCGAATTGGCCACGATGCTACAGGCCACATTGTCGTTCGTACCGTCTTCCTCGTCATCGAGCAACTCGAATTGGTTCGAGTTGCGCTTGGTGCTGTTCTTGCTCTTCCGCGGCATTGTTCTTTTTCGCCAGAGCGCGAGTTTTTGGAGCTGGTGAGGAACGAACGCGAAAATAAGTGGGGCGTGGCACGGGTAGCTTTTTTTTTAGGTCAACCACCCCCCCATCGTGACTAGGGAGCTCCAGGCCGTCGTGCGACGAGAGTGGGTCGAGGCCGGATTGGAGATTTGCCGCCATGCCCTCCCCGACCCAAAGACCCCATGCAACAGCGGTGGCAGGCCGATTCTCGGCGCGACGTAAATATGCGAGCGCGTCGAGAAAGGTGTTAGCGGCAGCGTAGTTGCCCTGGCCCGCGGTGCCCATGATGCCGGAGACGGAGGAGAACATGACGAAGAAATCCAGGTCGATGTCGCGGGTCAGTTGGTGCAGATGCCAGGCTCCGTATACCTTCGGCGCAAAGGTCATATCGCATCGCTGCGGCGTCAGGGCCGAAAGGACACCATCGTCCAGTGCGCCGGCGGCGTGGATCACTCCGCGCAGGGGACGAAAGTCGCTGAATAGTAACATGACGGCCTTGATGCTGTCGACGTCGGCCATTCCACTGGAAACCAAGGAGGCTTTGGCGCCGAGTTGCGCAAGCTCACCCACGAGTGTTTCTGCACCCGGAGCCGCCATGCCCGGGCGCGAGGTCAACACCAGGTCGCGGATGCCGTGGGTGCGCGCCAGCCACTTGGCTACGCGCCGGCCGATACCTCCTGTCCCGCCCGTTATGAGCACCCCGCCCTCACGGTGGAGGAGTCGCTCCTCTGTCAGCCGGGGCTTGGACGGGACGTGAGGCTGCATCCGGGGGACAAGCACCTGCCCCTGCCGTACGGCGCATTCGGGTTCGGCAGGTAGCATCAAAGCAAGGGCGAGGGCATTGAGGGCCCCCTTGCCTCTCGCCCAGGTCGATCAGACGCAGGCGCAGATCCGGGTGCTCGCTCCGGGCGGTGCGCATCAGGCCCCATAGCGGCGCGGCCCCGACCCCCATGGCAACGTCGTCGGAACCGGTGCCGACTGCCTGCCGGGACCCACACTACCGGCGGAGCGAACTCGTTCCGCGCTGCGTCCTGTAGCTGGGCGAGCGCCAATGCGGTCAAGTCGCGCGATAAGAAGGGGAAAGCCGAAGTTTGGCGAGGGAGGGAAGACTCAAGAGAGAGGAGCTTACCCGTCGGCGTTGTTGGCGAGGCGGGCAGAAAGTGGCGACTCTGGGCTTGCGCATTGTCGCGGCCGTCTGTCCTCAGTGAGTCAGCGAGAGATGCCCAGAACCAGGTCTCAACAGGACGATGCGCGAAAGCTGTTCTTGTCTCCATGGCGAATTCTACGAAGGAGGCGCGGCGGTGGACAAAGAGATAGAAGAGAAGACGAAGAAAGCAGGCCAAGCCAAGGAAGGGGACTCACGTCTTGCAGCTTGAGTCCCTGTTCGGGTACTGAGCAGGTCTCGGCTGCTGTTCGAGGAGCGCCTTCAACCTGACAATATCGCGCCTCGCTTCCTGGCGCCCCTGTTCGGCTCCATCAAAAGTCTCCCCTTGTAGTGACTCGAGAATGACCTCTTGGACTGTCCACTCCTCCGTCAGCGCATCCCGGTCCGGAGGCTCCGCCAACAGCCGCGTTCGTGCTTCAGTCAAATGACAGGGGGATAAGGCGCGCGCATTCGTGCTCGCTTGGTCTTTTCCGACCCTTGGGCTGCCAAGGAAATTTGGCCCGATCGTGGAATGCTCGAGGTGGGATGTCGGGGGGGGAGCCTGCGCGTTGGCTTTCGTCTTGTCGTCGGCCGGTTTTCTGAGCGAACAAAGATGAAAAGAGGGGTCTTTCCGTGAGCAAGCAAGAAAGAGTTTCCTGTGCGACAAGCCGTCGTCAGTGGAGGGGCGGTTAATTGTCGAGTCCAAGTCGCGACGCGTCGTACGGGCTACTTGGAAGTTTAGGTGCCCTCTCGAGAGCCGCGCAGACAGTGAGGTGCGCAGTGGAGGTACTTACCTCAGCAAAGGGGTCAAATTGATGCAGGAGTCTCGCGTATTTCGCGCCATCAGCTTTGAACCTTGTGTTGGGTTGACTTAGGCGCATCCAGAGTCATGGGGAGCCCTGCGCGGCGCAAGACGGGTGGGGGCGGACAGCCATTCACCATCGAGGCGTTCGACGCGTGGAGTAACGCCGAGAGGAAGGGCCCAAGACACGCTCCGTTCGCCGGAAAATGAAACGGCAAAGACGGCGAAGAGATCAGTGACTCGAGCGACGCGAACATCAACAACCGAAATCAATCTCGAACGAGCGGACGAGGAGAGAAATATGCGAAGCAGATGGCGAGACGGGGAAGGGGATGCTCCAGAGCACGCTGGAGGCGTTGGGGAAGATGGGCGGTGAAATTGGGCAGCTGTTTCCGAACAGAGTGACACCATACGCATGCAGAGCGACAGACAGCATCTGAACAAGGAAACACAATAAGGAGCTTCAGAACGTCGACTTCTTCCAGCGTACACGCACGGCTAGGACCCGCGTGAGGTCCAGTAGGTGCGACCGCCCGAGAGAACAACAAGCTCACATCTAGTTCTTCAGGAAGCTACCCTGGGAACGGATCATTAGTGGCCCAAGCAGACGACGGCCCGAAGCCGCGATTGTCCAATATTCTCCTGCCAGTTCAAGCTCCGTCGTTCTGTTGTAGAGCCGTGGCGACGTGCATTTCAGCCTTGGTCGGCGCTGCAGTCCATCGCTGCGGCCTGTGCATTCGGGTCTCACTGAACAAAGAAGCATTGTGGACATGCCCGGCCGCTGCTGCATGGGTCGGGGCGTGGACAACTTGTCGACGCCACCTCGGGCCCCCTCGCGCCGCCGCGTCGTCCAGTCCTCGACGCGCAGTTCACTGATGTGGCCGGTTGGATGCTGATGCAAGTCCAAAGGGGCCCTGAGAAAAGAGCAGGCCTCACGTCCACTAGCTCTCCAGAAGGCTACTATGGGAACGGATCGTTATTGAGCCCCTACAGACGGCGGCCAGAAGCGCAAGCGTTCAATATAGTCTTTCCAGTTTAAGCTCTTTCGTCTGTTGTGGAGCAGTGGCGACTTACATTTCACCCCTTGTTGGAGGCACTCGCGTCGCCAAGAACAAACAATGCGACAACGGCCACAAAATGCATATGGACGTTGAATCGCTGCGTGTGCTCAACTGGCCCAGGTCAAAAGTTGCCTTTTGCTCGCCGTTTCGGGAAGAATTACATGTCCGCAGCTGCACGTAATGGCTGACCAGGGGAGTTTAGGACCAGACAACACGGCGGCGCGGTCGGCGTAAGCCGCACAAAGTGTTAATAAGGGACCTCAAGAGAGCCCCTCAAGGGGGACACAAAAAGGGCCCACGCTCATACCTTTTGAGGAAAGTCATCTCTTTGCAGAACGGACTAAGGGAGGGTATCGATTAACCTTACGTAGCAGGACCTCATTTGTGTCAGGATCATTCTCAATTAAGGGCCCAAGGGAGGTATCACTACCTATACATACCGCCCTGATGTCTCATAGCTAAATAGATGCATGCATCGTTGTTTATCCAATTGTGAAGCCCCTTTTACCGTGCTCTCAATGTCACCAGATAACGCCACTTTGACATACCGGTAAGCAAATCCCTATGTAGGCCCCTTTGATGCCAGTCGAGCGCGTAAGATGTTGGTTGCAAGACGCCATTGCGTAGAGCCTGTGCACTTCAGCGCACAAGCATTATTTTCGTATTGCTGCAAGGGCAGTACCTAGCCAAGTCAACTTCTGGCCGTTGTACCGCACTTCTATTGCGACAGCTACGGCTCGCTGCAATTCCTTGTTGGGAACGACCCACTGGCAGAGTCCCGCGGCAGAATCCCGCTGGAGGGCTCCCCACTGGCAGAATCTCGAGCGGCAGAATCGCCACAGCAGAACCCCGCTGGCGGAATTGGCAGAAACCCCATCCATCACGTGACGTTGCTACTTGTCCTTCGCGCGATGAAGACACATTATGTCTTTCTCTTGCTTCCTTGCGCTACGTCTTGTATCTAGAACCGACGTATTCTGCATCTTCAATCAAACCTTGCCTTGGAGAACATTACTCAGCCTGATCTCGATACGAAATCCTCACATAGCAGAATCTCCACGGCAGAATCGACCCCGGCAGAACCCTCTGGCAGAATCTCGACTGGCAGAATCGACCCCGGCAGAACCCCGCTGGCAGAATTGACAGAATCCCCACCGGCAGAATCACACGGCAGAGATCCCCCCTTTGGCAGAATTTGAACTGGCAGAACGCCAAGATGCCTGCCAAGGGCAAAAATTTCCTTTACCAATCTCTTCGAGCGCTGCTTTTCTGACACCCTGCAGTCTCAGCGAGGACGTGCAGCCATTCCGAGTATCATAACCGACATGCTCATACTGTCTTTCACCCTTCCCGTGCAGTGACAATACAACGATGTGACTATTCTCGTGGCGACATTCAGAACTGGACCATTGCCGCGGTCGAGGAAATGCACGTTGCAACACCATTTGCACTGTGCTTTGTATACGTACTAGTTAAAAGGCCACCCCGTCACGCTAAACGGCCACCCAAAAGTGGGTCAATTGTGGCTTGGTCGCGCGCAAGGTCCGATACCGCAAAGTTTGGGCTCCAGAAGATAGGGGGCGAATACCGCGCTGTGGCAAGGAATGCCGCTTCAAGCGACCAAGAAAAGCCGCCGCCCGGCCGCTGTGATCTTCTTCATCACTGCGGCTTCAAGTCAAGTCTTGGTTGGCCTTCCTTGCCGTCACGATATTTTCAAGCGGCCCAATGCCGCCGCCGCCGTTCCCTTCGAAATGAATGACGTTGACGAGCTCTGGCATGGCAGAGCACAAGCCCTAACGATGCTCCTCACGATCCACTCCTATGCACGGGAAAGGCCGGCCCAAGGGCTCATTGAACCTCGAGGCAGCAGGAGGTCGTAACGGCCACGCGGAGAGCCGTCAGCACACGATATCGCGGAATCCGACGAACGCAGCGAGGCCACAAGGCCGCCGCCGTCCACAGCGCCGGCGGCTC